AAACCTGTTACGCATTGGACCGGAAGACTCTGACGTATAGACAAAAAACTCTATTATAAATTATTAGCCTATCTTAAATTGAAAAAAATGCAATAGAAAGAAAGACATTAAGATAGGAAGATAAAGAAATATAGGGATTAAATGAGAGGAGGAGAGAGAGAGAGGGGCAGTCACAATTTTTAATTTTGCGGTGATTTATTGAATAATTTCTAGTGAAATTTTTCGTCGAATCAAAGAGAATTTCTACGATGTAAGCGTTTGAACTGGTTACATATATATATATATATATATATATATAGAGAGAGAGAGATGTATCGTATAGATCCGTAGATATATAAGAACTAAAAAAGTTATTATCAATACATATAACCTTTCATTCTTTAGTAATTTTTCCTTTTTGCTGTTAAAAAATATTACAAAAACTTTAACGAATATATAATATGTTACAATTGTATTTTATGTTTTGTTTTTTGCTTTGTTGTATTATGCTTTGTTATTAATTTTAACAAATAATTTGTTTGATTATTGTATAATATTTTAAATCAAAGAAATTTACCTAAGTTTTACAACATACCAATGATACATCAGAATAATTTACCAAATACCTCAGTGCCATTATAATAAAGTATCGATACATCATTTGTTTGTAATATGATTTCATCTCTAAATTGCTATTAGCGAGTAAGCGTACAATTTTAGTAGCATATTGATTTTACTTTGGTACGTTATAACTTCAGAAGTTAGTTTTAAAGTGATACATAAATTCTATATCAACTAATTATGAATATATTTATAAAGAAAAATTATAATAACAATAAAACAAATTTTTACCATATAATTCTATATTCCATATAATTCAATACTTTTACATATTCGAAACTTGTATACTATACGTATGTTATAGATAATATTACTGTAATGCGAAATTATTTAAAATCATTTATTATTTAGAATTATTAATATAATTGTCTTGCTGTGTCCTTTATTGAATTAATTTTGTTTGTCTTAATTAATCTACTGATATTACTTGATAAAATATTTGTTCGTCCAAATTAACGTTAATCGATAAATCTTATTCGAAAATCATTTATTAAAAGAAATCCAGGATGAAATTGTAACTATATTAAGGCAAGCTAAGGTTACATCGAAGATAATAATGTTTTTGACATAAATGTAATAAGCTGCAAGCTTTTTATAAAACTTCTTCATTGTGGTTTGATTTTAATTATTATCTAAGATATTTAGAGTAAAAGTACGTAGAGTATATTTCATAATAAGTTGAAAGAGATTCGTAATCATATAATTGTAACGTATTTATAAATATAGTTTGTATAAAATGTCCACTTACATATAGGGTTAGAAATAATTGATGGGGGAACAAGAAATTAAGGGAGAAGAGGGACGAAGAGAGTGACTGATGTACGTGTGATCGCACTATGTAAAATGTATGAAATTGTTCGCATGCCAACCTGCGGTCATCCGATCCACCATAGAAGCAAGGGAGTGGGAAATTGACCAATGCTCTTTCGCTTGAATGCACCGGTAACTTTTTATCTACGAGTGGAGCCGACAGTGGCTGATTGGTTGAGTAATTCTATTTCGCAACAATAGTGCTTTGGCGATCCGCAAGACGACATCCGCTGTCGTTGGTGTTAGTCTGTACTCCGCGTTTTGTTGAAAAAAAAAGAGAAAGAAAATTTTCGGGGCCACGCCGAAGGAAAGTGAGAATAACAGTAGAAGGCTTTGCGTTTTTTTTTTTGTCGATCTATAAAAGAGACACCTAAGCTGGCTGAATTGTTCAGTTTTAAGGTGCCTAGTAGCTGCGGTAGAGTAAAGTATACGATAAGAAGACTACGTGGAGAAATAAGAGACATAGAGACAGAGTAAAACAGAGAAGGAGAGTGACACAGAAAGAGAGAGAGAGAGAGAGAGAGAGAGAAAGAGAGAGAGAGAGAGAGCGAAGGAGAAGGAAGGAGACCTAAGAAAGTAATCGGATGAAATGGCTGTTAAAGTGAGTGGCTCCGTGCAGTGAAAGAAATGAGCGTGCAAAATACACTTTATGAACGATGTGATAATAGATAACGCGAAGCAGTCTGTTGATAGTAATTGGCCGTTTCATTTTATCGTATAGTATTTAATCGATTCTTGGTATTTTTTTCTCTCGGTACTTTATTCGGTTTTTCTCCAAAACAAGGAGAATTTACATCGATATACAGTAGATGAGCATAACTTTCATTCCCAAATTTTATTAGTTTTTTTTTTTTTTATTCTAATACTCTTATTTTCAGATTTCTTTTTCTTATTATAGGAAAAAAATTGCAATAATTGAATAATTGAGTTATGATAGGCTCTACAAAATAATTAATATAATTGCTGATGCTTATTAATGCGTTGCTACAAGTACAATTTATGATTTAGAAACAACTTATTAACAAGCTATTATATCCGAAAATAAAAAACAAATATTTATTAATTTTCAGTAATTATTAAAATTTAAATAATTCTTTATAAATTTTGTAAATATATCGAGCATTAATAGAAAAATATTAATTAATAAATGAATACGTTTATGTGATGTTATTGATAAATTGTAATTACATTATATTAAAATTTTCTACTTTTTCTTAGCTATATAATGCAAAATATTAACGCAAAATATAATTTTTCCCTATATTATTAAGGAAAAGAAAATATTTTTATCATGCATGTAAAGAACAAAAATTTGTTTAGTAATTGATAAAAAATCATTTCTTAAATTTTTAATGAATGTATGCAAAGTAATTTGAAAGATCAAACAAAGCCGCATATTGAAAATCTTATTTGTAATATTTTAATTATTTAAATTCTCCAATGTTAAGTAAATTGCAAATTTCCTATCCATGCGGTAAACTTTTAAAAGCTATATTGCGGTAGAAAATGGTGAAAGTACGAGTTTACATATAGACCATTTCCTGATATTCCATTTCGACCTTTTAAGTACTTTGGAAAACACTAAATACGGATTTCCTCAAAATTAAATAACTTTATATAATACTGTCATTATTATTATTATTATTATTATTATTATTTTATTTTTTATTTTTTAATTAATACGTACTCATAGAAATTATTACGTTATTTCTTGCTACGAAATTTCGAAAACTAGTTAAATAGGTTTATATAATACCTAGTGTGTCAAAAAGCGTCATTATATTTTATTTTAAACATAATTTTCTTAAAGAAAAATTACTCGTGGTTTGAAACATTTAATTGTAATATATAAATACATAAATAAATAAATCAAAACTTTTCGAAAATACGTAAAAATTTAAAATGGTAAAACTTTTAAAAAACCTCATCGTATATTCTTTGATTTAAACATGTGCAGTTTTAGAAGAACTTAAAAAACTTCACTCCGCACGTATACTAAAAAAAAAAATATAAGCCAAGAGGAATGAGCTTCACCTATTTTCAAAATATATACCATCATGAATTTACTTTACAAACAAATAAACAATAAAGTAAAGTAAGTTTATTATATTTTTTTGAAAAACTGAGTAGTATATATTTTGCTGCTTATGAACTATATTGGGAAAGGTCTACAGTGTAACTTTTTTTACTATAAAATTACCTATTTTACAGATCACAGAGTATTCTATTTGTAAGACGATAACTTTTATTTTAAAATTCTTGAGTATATTCTGGAAGTTTTATGTTATTTTCGTATGCATATAATACGTCATAGGACCATATAGTACTATATAGTACTATGATGTATATACTACATGATAACATTATGCAGCTGTGTGATCTATATACTATATTATACGAGAATAGCTCGAGAAGATTTGCTGTAAGAAAATCTAGTTCAGAAGTTATTACTTCAAAAAAAAAAAAAAAAAAAAAAAAAAAAAAAAAAAACATTTAAGATTTAATGTGAAACATTTGTTTTGAAAAAGCATATTTACTCTGCAATAGGTATTTGATAAATAATTTCTTATCTATTGTTTCAATAGGAGTATTGAATTTGATAAATTTTTGCTCTATTATAACGTTATTGTCACTATAACAGTTATAGTTAGAGTCGTTAAAATTAAAAAAGTTTTATCGCGTAGATTTCAATATATATTTGATAGTTCGATTTCGTTTTTTAGTTTTCATAATTTGTATAGATTTATATTAAATGACTAAGTATTTAAATTATTTTACGAGAAAAATTGTTTCTCTACTGTATCGTGATTTCGTAAAAAACTTCATTTTTCCATGTAAATATAAAAAAAAAAATTGCTAAAGTAGAATGTATTGGCACTGTGTACAAAATATAATATAATAATGGAAATATGAAATCAAATCGTCTATAAATAATTCGCATATATTAGAGATTAATTAATTAATAAGTATCAGGACAAGAAACTTACAAGAATATATTCTATCAGTATCATACGCATGAGATAAATTTATGGAAATTTTAATAAATTTTTTATTGTTTCTTCAAAAAAAAAAAAAAAAAAAAAAAAAAATCAATTGAATCGAAATAATTAAATAAAAAATATAATATTTTACAATCATATCATTAATTAATCTGGACTATTTCTCAAAATTGCAATAACTGCATTAATTATATTTTAAACATTTTGAAATTATATATTCAGATACTCAGATACTTCAGATATCGTAGAAAACTTGAAGAAGCACTTTTAAATCATCTTAAAATATCCACTTGGTTACGTAAATGTCTGATAACTAGGTCATATACTATCTACATCATTTATATAATTTATAGGTCTTGCGAGGATAAATAAAGCCATCCTGCTCATATTTCTTATTACGATCAATAGAATTAAGACACCATAGAACTTAAAAATTTTAAAACGTTAACTTTTCATCTAAATTTTATTAATTTTTCCCCAATACAATAATTGTAATAATAATTTGTATCTATCGATTGGGATATCGATAGATTTAAATATACTCTGAATGGATTCTGACTGTAAATGTCCTTGGCAAACCTTCACAGGTCTGTCCACTGCTTGTATTTCTAGCGATGTTGTTCGGTGCGGTGATCGCCGAAGTTAGGGCTGGTCTGGCCCATTCCTTTCAGCATTTTCACGGGCCAGTAGAGGGAGATGACAAGGAGGTAGCTTGGGTAGACAAGCATGGTAAACATCATCAGGACTTTGCAGCCCCAGCTCATTACGAGTTCGCTTACGGCGTAGAGGATCGACGTACCGGCGACTATCACGGCCAGAAGGAACATAGAGATGGTAAGCGTTGCCTGGCGAAGGCTTTCTCAAATTTTCCGCGCTCTTAGGCTTGCGACTTTCGACAATGCTGTTCACTATTCGTCCTGGTACTTTTGATCTTTCGGGTACAAAGGACATTCCCCAATGTAGAAAGAAATTCAGAGCAAATTCTTGAATGCAGGCCTTAATTGCAATTTTTGAACTATCAACTTTTTAATCGTTCGAGAAAGTAGGAAGTATTTGTTGAACACGATAAGGTTAAAACATGTTGAATATGCACTTAAAAGATTGAAATTAGATAATAATTTGGTTAAATTTAATTAAGATTACAAATATTATCAGTTTTTATTATTTTATATGTTTATCTTAACTTTACAGTACAAAAATATATTTATATGGTCATCTTGTTAATATTGTTTAACATAAATAATCGTTGAATAAATATTTCACTTAATTACCATAAAAAAATTTCATAAAGAAATTTTTTTGTTTAATAATTGGCCTTATGAGAAATTCCAAGTAGTAAATTAGAAAATTTAATATTAACGTTTTCATTTAAATAAATTCTTCTAATATTTTCGTCATTAATTATTATATTCTTATGTAATTATTCTTATGAAACACTGTACTGTATTTTTCACCACATTAGTTAATTATTATTACAAATGATTATCCAATATTTATTATTAAAATCGATCAATAGCATAGGAAATTCGTTATTGGTGTAATGTAATGCAAATTATTTTTATAAAAATTTCTACTAAAGAATCATCATTAAAGCAATTATTTTTTTTATTATTTATTGCAATCGATAGAACGATTATTGTTGTAAAAGTCATTGGTATAAAAGTTTAATAAAAATGTAATATATGATAATTGTATCACACATTCTTATGTAAGAATATTTACGTTTATATACATTTTATATTGAAGTTTATTTAAACATTTAAATAATTAATCAAGATTTTCATTATTATGCATTTAAAATATAATTAAAAAAAAAATCTGTGAATTTGTATGCATTTTCCAATCATGGAATATAATTTAAATATTACCTGATTAATTATACCATCCTGTACTTTACTAGTTATTCTGATAAGAAAAATCAATAAAAAAATTTACCTTGAATTTAATGAAATGTATCTTATATTTTACTCTCTTGCTAGAATATTCACCATTCAAATTTATATATGTAAACAAATGAATAAATATTCATTAGATACTTTTCAAAATTACAAATTAGCAAGTATCATTAGCTTCTGTATGGAGTATCGACGCATCTGAAACATTATTAATATAATATTTTCCATCCTATACGTTTTCTTTGTAAATACCGTTGTATTATTACCAAGTACCCATAAAAGTATCACACATATATGTATTTGCGCACTACACGCTCCTTTGGCCCAGTTAAACACATGCATGGCTGGTTAGACTTAATGGTGCTAGACTTAACCATATTGCGCATAGGATAAGCCTTAGTGCTCAGTCAAGCGTCTTTATAATTTTTTAAAGGAATATTTTTATATATACGTAAGTAATAACGGGGACAATTTTACTTTTAAAATTATGAGGAAAAAATGTCTATTTTGCTAACTGGCCAAACATACGTAAACGAAAGTAAAAATTTAAAACTCTATAATTGTAGGAATTTTAATCAGTTTGCATTATCAAGTATATTAATCGTGGGTTTAAAATATGTAATGCTAAAACGTGCCCATTGCGTTTATTAACACTAGCTAACAAATAATTTTCGGTCTCGAGGAGGTAGAGCAGATCGATTTTCAATTATCTTCGACCACAATGCCGCGGTTAATTTTCATTTTCATGAAATTCGAACGATAATAATGAAAGTAATTTCTGCTTTTGTTACAAAGCTTGTCCGATCAAACATTTTATATTAAAATACAAGTAAACAAAGTTAAAAATAAGATTACTGTATATGATCTCTATAAGATATTAGGCTTAATTGAAGTGTTGTCACTGTCAACTCTTGTAATCCCTCAACTTGAATTTTTTCTTTTATTTTATCGGTGCAATTTATTTTGTTTGCAGGCATACTCAGGGATATATATATATATATATATATATATATATACATATATATATATAAATGTTATATTAATAACATTAAGAATTTTAATGATCCTTTTAGGCAATGATTAAAATTATTTTGATATAATTGTATATTCGTTTAGATTATGTGTTTTGTATTAATTAAGCTTCGTCTATAGCTTATTTATTTTAAGGCTATGAAAACTATAACAGTTTATATTGAGTATGTACAGTAAAAAGTTTTATAGGTTAATAAATCGAATGCAGAACAAAGGAGAACAATGGAAAAATTTATTACACACTTTTATTATGATTTTATAAATAATTTTGATTTATTATCTATATTAGTTGCTGAGATATGCAACCTATATTGATTAATATTTGTTTATATAAAATGAATGCTATCATTAGATTAATATTGCTGAATAAATATTGTTATACGTGTAATTCTTAAAATAAATGAAAATAACATGTAATTTGAATTTTATAATTCGAATGAAAACTCTTAAATAATAATTTATCTGATCACACTATAATCAGTCTATATTTAATCAACATTATTACTGTTTTATCGAAGAATTTTCAAAATAATTTAAAACCAACAATAATGATATTTGTTCTTACTAATAAATAATATTAATTATTATAATGTTATATAACAATGGATTTATTAAATATTAAAAACGGATTTATTAAAATATAATAATAACTGCTAAGGATAAATTACTATCCTTAAGTACTAATAAAACATTGATTGTTTTTTTTTTTTTTTTTTAATTTTATCTGCTACACAATTCGATTATTTGCAATTATATTATAACGTATTATTATACAATACTATTTATTTATGAAATGCCGTCTTAGCTTTTCTTTTTTATCTTGCTGCATTCAAAATATTATATATAAACTGCTGAATATACAAAAATTCGTATATTAAAACCAATTAAATTATTTGAGCAGTAAAGAGTATTTGGAAAGTTTCTTTACTACAAGTTTATACAAAAAGTCAATATTTAAAATTAATTTATAGCTTATATAAATATATACATACTTAAAAACTTTAATTCATCCATTTAAATGCATTTTTAATAATGACGATTAAATATTATTTCTCATTCAATAAATTTGTTTCTTACTAAAACTTACTTGGTTGTTTATAATTACTTATAATTAAAAAATTTGTATTATTATTATTAAAAAACGTGTAAGTATTTTATAATACAATAACAATTTTCAAATTTGAAATATTATAAATTATCTACTCATTTACGAAATTATCATTATATTATACAAATAAAAAAATTAAAAAAAAATTAATGTAATACTAAATTCGAAGTTTTATTGATGTTACGTAGAATATCAAGTTTCAAGTTATTGCATAAAGAATAATTTAATTTTACATAAGATTAATTTCTTCGATGTTAACCATTTAATACAAATTTTATGCAGATTTTACGTATATTTGTAGAAGTTTATAATTGTATGATAAATTATATTTTAATTATGTAAAATTGTAATTATCTATTCCAAATAAACTAGATATATGATGTGTTTGGGTCTAATGTTGAACGGGAAATTAGGTAATGGAAATTATAATTATCAATTTTCATTTGCCAATATACATGATAATTCTTAAAATAATATCACAATTTAATTACGGATCCTTAAATTATAATGATAGTTTAAATATTAATCCAGCAACGATGGATGAGTACACATAGTTAATAATATCTCACTGACTCTACATATAATTTTAATCACACAAACAAATAATATCAAAGGATATCCTATCGAGATAATCCAATGAGATCAAATGAGAATCTTATGCAATCCGATTAATATCACAGGTAAAGCAGTCTCGGGCGAATATACAGTTAAGGAGCCCGACGGCAATATCAGAACCGTCAAATATCACGCCGATGAAGATGGTTTCCACGCTACTGTATACAATAGCCACGGAAACAATCATGAAGGTAGTGATGACGATGAACGCTGAACACGCAAGCGAGCCATGGATGGTTCGGGGTGGCTCTCTTGTACCTTGTCACTTCCATAGATAATCGATGCCCGATTGTTATTGCGCATATCGAAGAGGCTGGTGCGTAATGTCGTCTCTTTAACTTTATGTTCGAGTGGAATAACACGTCTCGTGATATCATATAATTCTGTAAAAGAATACAATATATGTCCTGTCTTCCTTTATTTTAGTTACAATAATATATTGCTCGAGGAAACTTTGTATTGTGATAAGATTCGAAAATATTACTTTATATTCTCACATTCGATCATATTTCATTTTTATATTGAAAGGAATAAGCATTGTGCATAATTTATGAAGAAACAACTGTTGATGATCAAACTATGTTTTTAATTGAAAATTGTGATTTCTCTTTTGAAATTTAGAATTTACTTTAACATAATAAGGTATTTTTATAAGGTTTAACACAATAACATTGATATATCATCAATGGATTTGAAAAATAACTTGAAATGTAAAGGGAAATATAATTTCGAATTTGCAATTGTCGCAATTATACACAAGATCAGAATTACAATTATATTTCAACTATCTATATTTATATTAGCACTGCTACTTGTTATCGCTGATTCTGTGAAAGAGCAATTTTTCCATTATAATTAGGTAAAATTTATTGTTATTTCATGTTTCATTATTATTTATTGGCGAACGAACTATACATATTTTATTTAGATCATTGAATGTATGTATATGCTGAATGTTATCATTAAACCACGATTAAATATTTTGATAATTATCTATTATTTTATGAAGTATTTTATTAAAACTTATGCTAATTACTATTTTGTTATTTCTTTTATGAGATTATGAATTTTCTACATTAACCATATAATATTTTATTTAGCTACACACACACACACACACACACACACACACACACACACACATATATATATATTTGGACTGCAGGTAATATTTACGTTAATATAATATAATAAATAGCTTTAATAAATAGTTTGAGTTTTTATAATATTTGAATTAAAATTAAATGTGAAACTAGATTTAATTCTTTTTATTAATGTTTTTTACAATTACATAGGAATTTTTAGCCAGTTGATTTATATATATTTTATATGTATTTTATATAATTTAAATTTATGACTATTTTTAGTAAAGGTATTTATTATCAATTGGAATCATTTTTTTGATATTTTAATTTTTTTTTAATATATATACTAAATAATAAAATGTGGAATGACAATTATTTCCTGAGAGTACTACATTATTAGGAAACTTATTCGAAGTTTCAAATTTTTATATTTTACAAAAAACTATTTCGTTGAAAAAAGTTACTCATACATTATTTCTTTGATTATACAAACATAATACTATAAAATAGAAAAATTAAAAATGAAACGAATAAAATGAAGTAATATATATTTTTTCAATTCAATTTTGGAATAATAGAATAATAAATTATATATTTTTAAAGTACGTTAAATTATAATATATTAATTGAGCTTTATTATCAATCAAAATTATAATTACTTAAAAAAAAAATATATATATATATATATATATATTATGCATATTTTATATTTCAAGCATTCTTCACCTAACTTATCAAACTTTCATTTTAAAAGTTTTTATTAAACTTCTGATAAGATTATTATTACAAATATTAAACCATGAGACAATCTTTTTATGTTATCCAAAAAACATTTTAATTTAAAATTCATAAGTGCTTCTTACGAAAGTTTACCTATATTTTCGAACAAAGTGGAGTAATTATAAAACATAGACAAAAATGAAAATACAGTTATTTTTATTTAAAAAATGGAAGTAAATTATATATCCATTAGACATATTTTTGTAATATATTCGGCATTCAAATGTGAATGATTGTACGTGAATAAAACGATAAATTAAATGAATTTGAGTTGTGTAATAAAATCTTACGAATTTAAAAAGCTATCATTTGTAATAAATTTTTATTTGGTATAATTTTATACGAAAGATAATGTAATTTACTATTTGATATATAAATATAAAATTCTATAATACAAACATTGTTTTTTAATTTATATAAAATTATTAATAATTAATTTTAATTGGTTATAGAAATACAAATTTTAATGTTTTTTTTTTTTTAAATTTTATACAAATCAAATAATGTAAATGAAATTATTCTTTTAATTTAAGTTTCAATAATCTTTTTATATTACTTGGAACTAATCATTTGTAGAAATTGTTTTTATTTTTCATTAAAATTCGTTGAAACGATATTATCGACCGTATAAGTATTTATTCTTTGCTTTTTTTTTTTAAGATGTGACAATATTGTCATGAAATAAAGAAATACGATTGATCCATAAAACTAAGTGCTCATATAATTTTAATCGAACTTCGCTTGGTTACTCTATTCATTTCTACGATTGAATCGGCCACTTACGGAATAAGGAAATGAATTTAGGTAAGTAAACCTTTTAGTTTCAGCATAACCTCAAAATTCGGTGATATATAGCCATACGAAAAAAGAAAAAATTATAATTTTACTTATATTAGAATATTTAATATGAAAATGAAAATATAACAAATTGCTAACAGTTTCAGATGATTTGTAAAATCTCTTTTTATTCTGATCAATAGTGGCACTAGAATAATTTATCACATTTAAACAAAATTATATTTAAACTAAACATATAATTGAAATATATAAAAACGTTACAAAAATTTAAAAAAAGATAGAATAATTTTGTATTACTACTATTCTTACATAGATATACCACACTATTGAGTCAATTGTAATTAAGTAAATGGCATATTATTCAAGATATAATATTATTACAAAAGAATTTCAACAAACTAGTGCTTTTATTCAATTAATGTAATTGGGTAAGGTGTTATTTTATACAAGGACTAAAACACGATTGACCTCTTTGTCTATTTCGGTAATATAAGGTAACGGACCAACAATCTAACTCTCTTCTCATAGGTCAATACCCGCAAGTGCCTATAAGCTTTTATTGAGATACATGCAAACATTGTCATTTCTTGAGTTATGATGTTACGTTCAAATTACTCGATGTTCATGTTCTAAGTCTACTTAAGGAGATATGGAATTTAGCAAGAACATAGGGTATTATTATCTGAAAAAATTGTTGAAGTTACAATTTGTGCTTAAATTAATATATTCATTAACGAAAAATGTAAGAAATTTGAAATATACGTATTTAAATAATAAAAATATATTAACAAATTAATTTTTAATATAATTTAAATTTCCATTACTTACATTTTCCTTTGAAAGCAAATATGTATATGAAACAGAAGTATTGTATTTTCACAATATAATGGCACAATATCTATGCAATATTAAGATCATATATATTTATAATATATTACTATAATACCGTGTAATTGTTGTTATTATTAAAAGTATCTGCCGAATAATGAAATTGAAGAGTCATACGATATTTATTGTTCACCATTGTTGACAATGTTGATTATTGTTTTAAAAGTGATATCAGACATTATATGAGGATCTCGCGACAATATCGATCATTAAAATTGTTTGAGCTGCAGGAATCCCGTTGAAATTGAGACAGAAGTATTTTTCAAGTATATGCTCAACAACAACGTAGATTTTATTCCCTTTAGTTTCCAGGACATTACTTGAACAGCGAGATACGTTTGCAGAGTTGACGAATGCGTTGCCATTTTATTGTTCAACCTACTCAGCCACTCTTAGGCAGTGAACATGTTTCACAAATTGCTCTATTTTTTTCATGTTTGGGTAACAACAGTAAAAGAATCGAGTTTCCGTCGCTCACAGCTGCTTTTTCCCGCTGACCTCAATAAATTCTCGTTTTTCAATTGTTTTTAGTTAAATTTAATATTAACATTACAAGTGTAACCTTTATTTTAATAGATCGTTTCAAGGATTATCTATCTATTTAGAAAATTAAATGAAAAATTTATTTATTAATAACAATGTATAAAGTAACATTGTTCCTCGTAATTCCTTTTGTGAAATCGTCTAATCATATAAATGTCATCAAATTAAATTAGAATCTTTGAGCATTTTTTTTAACAATTACTTTTGAGCTAAGAAACTCAAGAAAAAGGAAAAAAGAAAAAATTGATATGGAAAAACTAATGTAATGGAAATTTATTAATCTTATTTAATTATTTAATTATGATATAGTTGCTAATGATAAGTAATAATAATAATAATAATAATAATAATAATAATAATAATAATAATATTAACGGTAATAATAATAATAATAATGTAAATTATAGTAATCGATTTTTATTTAAAAAAAAATAATTATATCAATACATTATAAGTAGATTTTAGAAGAAAAAAAAAATGTATTTATATATATATATATATATATATATATATAAATATATTTTATTGTATAATTTACCGCATATAAAATCTGAATCAAAAGTAGGTATAATTTCTTTCTATATTTTTGAAATGTATAATGTCATGGCATTGTCGATTGTATCTCTTAAAAGATATTACGCTCTAAAGAAAGGTAAAACTTAAATGAAATTTGTTACAGTATTCCTTTTGACACAAAAAATAAATAGGTAAAGTTTTAAAATATGTTCTCTTATCACGTTTAAGATAAGTAAAGTTATCTATTTATTCTCTGTTTTCAGGAATATAAATTAAGTTGAATAAATATCTCTATACGCATGATTATTAAAATCGGTAATCCATAATATTGATGAAGGATTTCATTTATTCTGTCATGTATTTCCTATTAGCATTACACATCATTGTAGGCTGTTATGTTTTTTTTTCTTTTTTTTCTTTTTTATATTATTACATAGTGTTACATATTACGAATAACTAAAAAAATTATTAATATCATTTAAAAGAGATTATTTATATATTAGTTACTTTATATACTCCGATGAGGATATAAAGATCTGTAGATGTGGAAACTAATTGAACAAAATATATTATTATGTATTGATTCTCAGTATACGTTTTAACTGTAAATTCTGAACAACAAACATTGATTATTACAACCTCAGTTTCTTCTTTTGTTCGAGCCTTTTATCTT